GTGGAGTCCGCCTCTGACTTCCCCCAGAAGCCTCAACTCGACGATGGCAGCTTCAAGGCAAATGTACAACTTGCCGACGGAGATGTTACCTATCTTATCCCAACGCCAAGTTCGGATCCACGCGGTGAGCCTGCGGATTATCAAAGTCTCCTGATAACCCAAGTGCTTCCTGCTAATCATTCGCCTCAACAACTCAGATCCCCTCAACTTAAGCCCACTTCGAAAATGGGTTAGTCACCTTTCAAGAATCCGACACTCATATTCCGTGTAAAAGCGATGACTGATGTTGGGAATCCTTGAATAGATAATTACGATGACTTGTGCGACTTTTGCTGCTGTTGGTCTCGTCCAAGTCTCCGGCCTTGGAGCTCTTCTCGGAGAGTTTATCCCTGAATATGCAGCCGAAGGCAGAGGATATGACGATATTTCCCATCTCATGACTTATCCCTCCTTGTTTATGGGACTTGGAAACCTCATTGGAATGCCTCTTGCACTTGCAGTAGGCCGCCGTCCGGTTTTCCTCGGGTCTTGTGCCTTGGCCGTCATAGGTTCCATCCTCTGCGGTGTTCAGAAAGGCTATACCTCTCACCTCGTTGCTCGTATGGTCCTTGGCCTGGCAGCTGGTCAGAGTGAAGCTCTCTGCCCGCTAATGGTACAAGAGGTTCACTTTCTTCACGAGCGTGCCCGGTGTCTCATGTGGTTCACGCTTTGGCAGTCAACTCTCAGCGCTGTCTACTCCCTTCTTACTTCCTACATAGCCGCTGGCATTGGGTCGTCTGGCTGGTACTTCCTGGGCTCAGGTTTTGCCGCCATCACTTTCATCTTTGCGGTCTTCATGGTACCTGAGACAAAGTATGACCGGCCGCTGGCAGCATACCAAGGCCAGACTGCCCAGGTCTCGCACTTTGTCACAACTGCTAGTCCTGGAGTCGACGACACCACTGGAGTGTATACGGAGATGCTGACCCGTAAGACTACCACGGAACCCCGTCAGCTTGACTTCGTCAACTTCAAGCCTCGCACCTTCGCGTCCGACCTCCGTCTTTTCACCCAAAAGGCCGATTGGAAAGAAGGTTGGCAATGCTGCACTGGCATGGCTCTCGTTACCTTCTTTCCTGACATGATGTGGGCACTTCTGCTCAATGGCCTGACGATGTAAGACGCAGCCCTGGCAACGGCCAATACCCCATTCCATAAAGTTTCAGTGTACTGTCACTAACTTAATCTCCTTCCTAGCGGCGTCAACATCGCTCTTGGTACCACCTATGGCGGGATCCTGCAGAATGCCCCCTACAACTGGAAATCATCAGTCGTCAGTTTCGCCCTGACCGGTCAAATTGTCGTCGCATTCCTTGCCTTGCCACTTCTGGGTCGAGGATCAGACTGGGTCATTAAGTTCTTCGCTCGAAGGAACGGCGGTGTTCACAAAGCAGAATACCGACTGATCCCTCTCATCATTCCCGTCATTGTCGGTACGCTCGCGGCCGTGATCTACGGCCAGGCAGCTGAGCACCCCGATAGATATCACTGGTTTGCCATTGTGTTCGCTCTTAATGCCTACTACTTCGGATTTGTCGGAGCAAACCAAGTCGGTATCACCTATGCTCTCGATGCGTACCCGACGCGGTCTGGCCCGGTGCTGGTCATCATCTGCGCTATGCGCGGCGTCATCTCTTTCGGAACGAGCTATGGAGTGACACCTTTCATCGCCTCAATGGGATACGATGGTGCATTCGGTATTTATGGAGCTCTTACGGCAGGTATCGGCGCTGCTGGAATCTTTGTCTTCATCTGGGGCACCCAGATCAGAGAAATGGTCTCGAAGTGGTCCATTGCAAACACCACGACAACCCCTTCATACAATCATTAGCATGGGTGAAATCCTTTCGCCGGGATCTTTGGGTTGATCACTGGGTCCCGTAGTCTCCAGCATCAGTCCCATATTGTGTGGGCCTTGATTTGGCGGCAGGTTGAATGACAGTTAGGTGGTCCATGTGTACTTTGAGTGTAATCGAAAGTGGACCTGAGTGAAGAATCCAACAATAATAAGTGATATTTACTAATATTGGCTTCTCCTTTCTGCTTACCTATTTTTTTGACTGAACAAATCGAGGGTGTGGAGGAAAAGAATCGCGGAGCATCTGATTGAACTTGGGGCCACTCGAATTCCCTAGCTAACATCCGACGTGGTAACGCTTTCAGCAACTCAAAGCCATAAAGATTGACAGTGCTGTAACTTCGAACATTTGCAAAGTTTTGGTTATTTTGGGAAAGTCGTACTTAGATGGCATCCACGACTTTCACTTCAAGGGAAGGTAAGCAACGACGTACTGCTGGACATGGGTCACTCGAACTTGCATGTGGGATTTAGGATGGTTCTCGAAGGAGATTGGAAACTTCATCAGTCTCCATTATGACATCTGCTGTTGTGCTGCAGTTACCTAGCTCTAAGAAGACTTTGATGGAATGAAAGGAAGGATAATGCGACTCTGATGCTCTGGCCCACAGTGAATGAAATGTTCGCCCTTGTTCCTCTCATAATCCGGCCGCTCAGTCGAAAATGCCTTGTACTCAGCGATGGAGGGGAACTGACCGCCGATCTGCACCTGAACAGATTCATCCGCCTCATAGTCCACGCCCATGGCCCAGATGCCGATCTCCAACTCCACAATGGTGCCAGGCGGGATCTTATCCTCCCTGTCGTGGGGGTGGAAGGGGAATTGAGGATGCATCGATCGCTCCGGATCAGTGTTTCGGTGAGATGCTCTCAGTTGACCGACCGAGCCGAGGTGCAAATTTGTGCTACTCTGCTCCTTCTTAGGGATGTCGTGGATGGACTTGACTGGTGCAGCCCAAAATGGGAAGCAGAGATGCATCATTGGGTTTCCGTCCTTATCAAGTTTTCTGACGTTTACAAACACGTTCATGTCGTCGTGTGAAGGACAAGACATGTACAAGACTGCCTTCGGAATGCCAATGAGGCGTGATGGTTTGTCGAAAGTGTAGGTAAACTTGACAAGCGAGTTGCCATCTTCGGAGTTGTAAGACACTTTTGAGGAATGCGAAGGAGCAGACTCGGACAGTTTCTCGTTATCGAGATAGAAGGTCTTGTAATCGGTGTTCGGTGGAGGAAAGTCTTCGAAATTGATGTCGCTTTCTGGCTCTCGATCGCCGAATTTCAATGATGTCCACCGCACCTTGGGGGTCTTCTCCCAGTCGTTTTCGATGCCCTTGAGATACCTGTCAAAGAATTTCTTAAGCTATGATTAGCATGATGCCTGACAAGGTGCTTTGAAAAGGAATGGGAGACTTACCGCCAAATCCTCGTTTGTCTCTGGCACGCTATACAGATCAAACCACTCCTGCCAAGCGCTCCATCGTATCCATTTGTCGGAAGTATCCAGTTCCATAAAACCTCTGATGCTACCCATTGTGTGGATAGAACTAAAGTCAGACCCGGAGATGTAGGCCGGGATCTTGATAGCCTTCATATTTGCGCGCTTGTCCTCCCACCAGATATTTGACAGGGGACTTCTGCGGTACATTTCCGCAAAGTCCTCTACACCTGAGGTGCCTTTAATGATGAGACTGGTGATAAGATCGAAGTTGCTCATGGAGAAAATGCCACCTCGGACGAACTGCTCGCGGAATAGATCACCACTCGCCTCCCATGGTGCAATGGCTTTGAGGGATGGAGGGTTCAGAGCAGCGACATGCCATTGAGCAATAGCAAGCGCAGAGTTGCCCGCCATACCAACGCTTCCGTTGCACCAGTCGAACTTTGCAATAGCCTCGATAACATCGTAAGCGTCCTCGGCATCCTGCAAACCCATAATTGGGACTTGACCGTCGCTGTTGCCAGCGCCTCTGCTATCGACGCTTATGATCGCGTACCCCTTGGGGCACCACCGCTGCGGATCGAGACCCTCGAACTTCTCCAGGCCGCTGAGGTCGCTCTTCTTCACGCAGCAGGACCATGGCGTCATCGGGAGCATGGTAAGTGCGCTGTACTTTTTGCCGTAGGGTGACCAGCCAACAATGGCGGGGATCTTCTCGGTGCTGTCCGCTGGGCGGTATACGTCAATGTAGAGTCTACACCCGTCTCTAACTTTGATCTCGACATCGTGATCGATTCGAATGTCGCTCTCAAGGGGCTTTGCATTGTAGCCGTTCCAACCTTTAGGCAGGACTTCGGTCCGACCTGGGGTGAAGCCTTGGTAGTTATTGGTGCCGATCTCAGGCTTACCGATGGGCTTATACGCAATCTGGATGGGAAGAGGCATGGCTGAATCTGGCGATTTGACAATTGGGACTGAATAATTGAGATACGGTGAGGGAAAGGGGCATCACGAGTTCGTCATATCACTGAACATGCAAACAAAGTTCTTTTTATGGGACGCGTCTGATGATTCAATGGCTTTACGAGAACATCGCGTTGTCGCGAAGCTCAAGTTCCATAGTTTGAGTGCCTCGGTCTAATTCTGCCCGGAGCGGGCTTCCCCAGGCGGATATGCACGATTCTGTGGGGCGAGGAGTGCGCCGCACCAGATTTAGCCAAGATCGAGGGGCAGCCGGCCCCGCCGTTGCTACGAAATTGCGGAGAAGAGGAGCCCAGAGAGCCCATCCGAACCGAACCGAACCGAACCGAGGAGTCCGCGGCCACGATAGCTGTCTCATCAGCCAAGGGTCAAACGGATGACCGAACCGGGCCTAGGATGAAGCCCGAGGGACTGCACACTCATACAGGAGAGATCGATTCAGGGACGTGATTGTGCGGGGAAGCCTGACTTGCGGTCTCAGGATAGCTTCACGAGTTCACGGTTGAGATCTCTACTTGTTGGCAGGAAAGAGAGGAGACATAAAGTCAAAGAGAAGATGACAGGATAATCCAGATTCACTGCATCTTCTTCAATAGACCGGACTACGTGATTACACCTTCTTGAATCGTCATAGCAAACGCACTATCAATCTGACAGAGTACTCACTCTTGAACATCAATCATGTCGGAGAGCCTCTTAACCCCGAAGTCAAACTACGGCGATTGGCGCGACTTCTTCTTCGAACATGGCTACGCCATCATTAAGAACGCTATTACTCCTGAACGAGCTGAGTATTACAAATCAAAGCAGGTTGAATGGCTCAAGTCTTTCAATCGTGGCTTCGATCCGGAAAACGAAGACACTTGGACCTCTGAGCACCTCCCCGTCTCGTTCAAGGGTGGCATGTACGGGTCCTACTGCGCCCCACATGAGCGATTCGCGTGGGAAGCAAGAATGTGAGTGCCACCGATCCATTGACTCGTGTTATGTGAGCTGAACTTTTAATAGGGAGCCTGGAGTGATGAACCCATTCATTCATATCTGGGAGACAGAGGAGTTGTTGGTCAGTTTTGACATGTTCAACATTACACTTCCTCGCCAGAAGGACTTGAAGTGGTCTCCATGGCCCCACTGTGGTATGTCTACCCGCAGACCATTCAATGACTTCGTTCTCTAAGAGAGAAATTCCAGACCAGGATCCCAAGAGGAAGGGCCTTCAGTGCATCCAAGGTCTTCTCAACTTCGCCCCCAATGGGGATGACGATGGCGGCCTCATCCTGATGGATGGCTCCGCCAAGCTCTACGATCAATTCTTCAGGGAGACAAGAGAAATGGCAAACCATGAAGACGCCCCACCTCCCGAAGCGAATTATCGTGACCTGTTCATTTTCAAGGAAGAGGATGTCAAGTGGTTCGAGGACCGTGGGTGTCGCCTCATCAAACCCAACCTTGAGCCAGGCGACCTGGTGCTCTGGGATTCACGGTATGTTTACATCTTCACAGCACCTGTTTCCAGTGTTTAGGAACCCTTCATGTTGACCGTGTCAAGATCGATGCATTACGCCAAACATCCCACGGGAACTCAAATCAGACACGCGCAGTACGTCTGCTTCACGCCCGTCAAATTCGCCGACCCACAGGCATTGAAGGAGAAAGCGGACATTTTCCGTTCATGGGGAGGTACCACGCACTGGCCGCACACAAACATTCATCCCCAAGGAAAGGCAAAGAGGGACGGAATTCTTGACCCACAAGAGCGCGAGGAACCTCTGGAGAAGCCTATCGTGACGGACAGGCTGTTGCAATTGGCGGCTGTGAAGGCATATTGATAGCCCTGACTTTAGTCTCATACAGGAGAACATGTGATTCTATGATTTAGATTCTATGATCTTGCATGCGATTGAGTTGCGTTTCGAATATTTGTGCCAACCTGGGATTCTGCAACGGTTCTCACCATTTCCGTTGATCTAGATCTTTACCTCACCAACCGATAAGCAAGTATTAAGTCAAACGTCAATGATCTTTTCTGCACCGCAGTTTTAATGACCGTCTTTGACTTGCATGTCCAGACCAGAGAATTTCTGCTTCTTCCTCGATATTCATCAATTAGACAGCAGGCGTGAGGTCAGTAGTTTATAGATAGGTATGGGTGACTCTTGGCTTCTGGGTACGGCTTAATCGCCCAGTCGGATCGTAGCCCGCGTGAGGAAATAGCTTAAACTGGATATTACATACCCACATCTTACTAACTGAAACGTAGTCTGAAGTATCCGCAGTTTTGGCAGCAATGAAGCAGAACTTGAGCTGGCATTACGAATGGCAGTGTATTGAGTGGCCTTTCTTCCCGAGGCACAATGCCGCAGTCCCCCGCCCCCGGATTCCCAACGCGGGGTTTCCCTTGACTGCGGTCTGAATTGGCACTAGTAGGTTCAGAACCGGCATGGGAAAGCGTCAACTGCGCCCCACGCTCGGGTCAGACGCGCGTGGGGAAATGCAAGATAAACTAACCGGCACACGTATCCCTTTTCCTGTCGAATGCAACCCATCTGTTTTTTCAAGTGACACAGGACCCTTTGTGAGGGGTCTCCAGTATATACCTTGCCGTTGAAGACCTCCGGGCCTCGACCGAGGAGAAGACTGGCTCTCCGTCCGGATCTCCCGAAAACCTCTGCTCTTTCACCTTCCGTCAGCAGCCATGCCCGACTCCGTATCCAGCTCGGGCGAACAGCCGCAAAGTTCCCATCCGAAGCGCATTCGACTGTCTCTGGCCTGCAATCAATGTCGCAAAAGAAAGGTCCGGTGCGACGCACAGACTCCAAAATGCCACAACTGCATCCTTCGCGGCGATGAATGCCAGACCACAAACCCCAGAAATCCGAACCAGCAGGCCGTACGGAAATGGGCGGCCAAGAGCGCCAGCACACAAAGTCAGGGCGGCGGCAGTGTACAGGGGGTTTCCGAGACACCTCGAGATCCTCTTCGCGCCGTCTCTCCGCGCCCTCGGCAGTATCTATCGCCGGCGTACGATGACGGCTCCGAAGCCGAAGATGCGGCATTACGAAAGCTTTCATGGGTCGCGGAGGCATATCGTGCCAACGCGCGAGAAAATCACAGTCCTCATGAGCATGCGGATCTGAACCCCGACATGACGCTCAACACTGATGAGAGTCCACATCGGCTAAAGTTCATGGGTGGTAGCAGTGTACAGTCTCTGACGATGTTTGCCGATCTTTTCTTCCGCAAACGCGGTCTTCGGCCATTATCGCCCTACTTCCGCTTCGGCATGCACCACGTTGAGGAGTTCCAATTGCCTTTATCGTTTCAACTCCCCCCTCTGCCTCCACTTCCCACCCTCGATGCCTACCTAGATGTTTACATGAAGAGGATTCACCCTCTTTTCCCTGTCTTTGACGAGCCGACTATCCGCTCGGAATTAGGAAGACTTACGACACTTCAAGACGCCGATGCGTCCGGATCTCTACAAAATTCCATTGAGCCATCCCAAGTTCCACTCCTAGTCTCCATTTACTGCATTATTTGCATCGGTGCAGATGAAGAGACCGGAACATTGGCCGAGATTGGGACTCACTACCTCACTGCCGCGTACAGCCTCTTAGCGCATGTGATATCCACGCCATACTTGGCTTCGGTACAAGCTCTACTACTCCTATCCATAGCACTGCGTGGTCGTAGCAAAGAGGGCCAAGGATGGCAGACTCTTGGGCAAGCTATCCGCATCGCCCATTCCATTGGCCTTCACCGACATGCTTCAACACGGCACTCCCGCAACCCGCCAGATACTGGAGATTCTGCAGCTTCGCCAGGCTACCAAGCGAACCGGAAACTGAACACTCAAGTCTGGTGGGTATGCTACACCCTCGAAAAGCTGATGGAGCTTGAGACCGGCCGTCCAAGTGCGATCCACGATTCGGACTGTGACCAAAAGTTGCCGGACCCAGTTCCAGTTCCAGCACCCTCGACACTATCGACATCGAGCCCTGAAGCCCAGGGTGATCGACATACTATTGACTACTTCCAACCTTGGGCATCATTATCACGCATTATCAGCAGTATAAGCGCTCACATTTACCGCCGCTCCGGGCAATCCCAGACATCACGAATCCTTCTCGGTGACACGGTCCGTCTAGATACGGCACTAACGGAATGGGCCCAGTCGTTACCGACCGAGATACGCCCTCCAGGTCCTAATAGTGGAAATGCGGACCTGTGTGACACGGGACATCAGCACTTTGCCATTTTCCTCGCTATCCACTACCACCATGCCCTCATATCTCTCCACCGGGCCGCCTTAGTTTTCCCAGAGTCGATGTATCGAACACATATCAACACACAAGCAGACTCGGGGTCACTGTCATCTGTCGAACTCACAAGACTCAGACGAGGCGCAGAGATCTGCATTGGGTCGGCGAGAACGATGGCCAGACTCATTGGCGAAATCGCAGACGACGCAACCCCTGCGCCGCGCGGCGGTAACGGCGGCATGTTCGCTCAGTCTCATCACAACAGATCAGAGTCTATGATTTTTACAATGACCCAGCCTCTCATGTCTGCAGTAGCTCTCGCTCTCCACATCCTCAAACAACCCAGCTCGCGGCTTGCCCGGTCCGACTTGGAGCTTCTGGGCATAGCAGCACAGTATGCGGAGGAGCAGTACACAAAGGTCACACAGAACCCCCGGTTCATCCAAGCGTGCTCCGTTCTGCAATCCAACATGTCAGAGATTGTATCTGGTCATCGTCAGAACCGAGCTTCTTTGAGCACAATGGCGACAGAGCCCTGGCAGGCTGCACAGACACCGGCGAGGGACGTCGGTGAGGTCAATGTGGATCCAGATATTGACCTGATGGACCTTGAGCTTCCGGATTTGTCGGGTATGTTTACCGAGATCAGCAATACGGACTTGTTTGGGGGTGTTCGGCTGGAACATCTCTGGGGGATGCTAGGCACAGATGGGCATTTTCCGGATGGTACGGAACAGTGGCCACAGTCATGAGGTACATTGTGCTTGTACGGCCAGTGTAATATGTCAATGCATTACGAACTCTTGCAGCGATTAAGTTAACTCCATCAATGTTGTTTGATGACCACAGACTCAAAGGTTCTTCCATCTGCGAAGTATGCATAACATCCCAATGCTTGTTTGATTATCCAAAAAATGCACTGCGTGTCCTGTTACTGAATTTTGAAGAACCCCGCGCTGGCAGCTTAGCTACCAGGCCAACACTGTAGTCGGGCGTCGGGAGGATGCGCCGAAGACAGGAGGGGGAAATATGATAGAAATCAGGTGGTCAATACGAGTTGCAACATACCTAAGCTGGGGACTTAGTGTCATAGCTGTAAGAACCAAAGCACCTTGTGCCTCAGGACTTGAAAATCGCTGCATTGAATGGAATCTCTCATCGCGTTCGAATTGGAAATTCCCTGAAATGTGTAACGGTAGCATTGTACTTGATACTCCGCAAGCATTTCCCCATTCAGCGCTAATCACTCTTCCAGACAGTTGTCAAAAGTCCTCAGGCCGGGGCTTTGCTCATTGGAGTCGTCATATTTGGACTCAAATGCAACATTTACTCCTCTCTGTCAACATCAGGCAACTCTGGACTCAAGCGAGGCATGCCCAGCAGGCATTGGCTGATCCTTCTGCATGCACAACGCAGACACAGCGAGCCAGGGCTGCTCGCTAAACAAGTCCTTCAGTTCTTGGCTCAACAAGGTACGAGCTTGATGCAATCGAATCCTTCGGAGCCTGTTTCTCCATGTAAAGTTTGGTGATCGTAATCCTTCGGACGCAACGGAGCAAACTGACTTTGGAGAAACTACTCAGACTTTAGACGTCAACCATAACAATTCGTACTCCCATTGGTTATAGGAGTCTGGGTTATGAATCAAGTGTTAATTGGCCTGATTATGTCCTTACCGTACTTATCCTCAGTTCTTTTTAGATGTTTATTTTCGATCTTGGACACATTGATCACACACCTATGAGGTTTGAAAGAACCTGGATTCTTTCTAGAGACTCGTGAGAATGACTGACACTGGTTGGTAAACGTTGTTGTGACATGATGCCTATTGAGTTCATGGGAGGCCCGTTTGCACTTTCCTATGCTTTAGTTCTCGGATACAGCCGCCATATTATGCAACTTGTCGTTGCAAGGACTTTTGGTCTGCTAAATACGACTATATAGTGCCGCTTACGGATATTGTGCCCGAATTCCCGTCAATGTAGCAAGCGTTTTCGATTGATATGTGGTAGCTGCTGTGCCTCCATGCCACTGCGCTAGGAACTAAAGGGTTTTGTTCCCAAACACCTTCCTGCTTCTGATATGACATCTTGGTCGGATGTCTTGTGGATAGTCTCGAATTGTGACAAACTGATCTCGAGGATACGTAGAAAGTCGGCTTCCTTGATGCATATAAATAAAGCCCTCCTCCACCCGCCTCTATCCCACATCCTCATCATCCACAAGCTCGAATTCGAAATTAGTCACAGCAAGTTAAGCAAACTTGACACACTTCATTTTAACTAGGTAAGCATGTCACCGCCAAAGTTCCACCAAATTCTGATGGCGACGTGGATCATTGACGCCTTCTCCCATCATATTTAGATCTACCCAAAATCTCACAATGAAGTTCTCCGCCACCATCGTTGGCCTTTTCGCCACTATTGCTATGGCAGCGCCCGCTATTGAGACTGCTGAAGCCCTTGAGGCTCGCGCCGAAGCTGTCGTCAATGAGCTGGTCAGTCGCCAGATCTGGTCTTGCACCTGCTCCAACCACAAGAACGTTTGCTGCGGTGCCACTTCTTGCTACACTGGCAAATGCTAGGGGCACACTCGGAAAGTCGCTTTGGAGACGGTGTGAGTGTCATCTGTACCTCAGTCGGTTTGTGATCTGGCAAAGGAATCAGCATTGATAGTGGTTGTCTCGGACGCGCTCTGGGTGATATTAGGTAGTAACAATAGCAGAGAAAAAAGATGTTGCACAGAAGAAGTCTTTCTTGTGGATAACACCATGTGATTTGATTAACACCACAGGGAAACAGGAACATGCATTCTCGCCATCTTCAACGGCCCTCTGTCGGCTCAAATCGTCTGTTTGATGACAAACCGACTTTGAGATATAAACTTCTATCTCAGTTACGTACGTCTATTTTTGGATCGAATGACAGCTTGACCTAGGTTTTTCATACATCGTTTGACGAGTTCTAACAAATCTTTCCCTAGTGTACTCAGGAATCTTATAATTCTAGATAACCAATCAATTATGGACATAGTCCTCTGCGTTTTAGTATCTCACAAGTACATGTAGATCCCATCAGATGGGAAAATCGGGAAACGTAAGCTGTTACTAAAAACATGCCATGTCCATATAAATTCGGTAAATGACTGAATTATTCATTCTGGTTTCTAGAAGACCTTCGTTTCGAACCCTTTGAATGCATACAAGAAAGACTCCGATAGGAAGTTCTCAGTCTACCTTGACCCTAAGTCGCTTAAGTTTGTTGTTGTATCACAAGAAACCAGCATTCAGCTTCAGGATCTGCCAATGCAGAGGCCGTTACTCAGATAGTGATTATCTTGTAATCTCCCTGGTAGCTGCCGTCGAAGATTATCTTGACATCCAGATGAACCCAGACCTCGTGGGTTGCCAAAAATGTTGCCGAGGTCAATGCCGGTGACAGTGATGGTCAGACCGACTTCGAAAGTGTTGGTATCTACGTAGCCGCTAATCTGAGAGGTGCGTAGAGGATATTAGTCAGATGCAAGAATGGGCGAAGTTCGAGTGGTAGATGTGCGATTATTTTCAGTTGGTGCAATGTAACTCCTGCAGCTTAAAGCTTGGAAGGGCATACCTTGATGGGACCAAAGCTCCAATCGATTGAATAGCGTCCCTGATCATCACCGGGGGGTAGGTTGCGGTGAAGCTCGATCTGTTTGGCCTCCCAGACGTTGTCGCCCGGTTCGGGAGGCGAGAGAGAAACAAGGGCACCTGATCGGGCAGTCCGTCATCAGATTTGTGCGGCTAGACACGCCGCTTGAGGGATCACGCCAGAGGCGAAATCTACTCACCAACGTTTTGCTCTGCCATGGTGAATAATGTAGTGGCTTCGGAGTGATGTTCAAGTAAGGAGAGATGGACGAAAGACGTTATTTAGGCCGGAGTCCTTGGTGATTTGAGCTGGTTGCTTGTGAGATTGAGATGATTGTTCGCCTTCGAAGGTTGAAAACCTAGCGGCTCTTATATTTAAATCAGTCATATGTGAACTTCATGCCATCCAGACTGGCTACAAGGATTAGCTTCTATTCCCTCAATGAAACAAATGAGCTCCAGTCTTTCCACATTCTCTTTGTTATGCTTCAGGGCAAATCGTGTTCAACGTTCGCCCCTTCCCTATGCAGGCATAAGTTTCCTTGTGTCTCATACGTGATTGCCTCGCGAAAGTCTTGAATATCCATTCGCGTTGTCAGCCCTCGCAAGAGGAGTCGATCGTCCGCCTTTCTGATGCCAAGAATACTCTCTTATGCAAACCTTATTCAAGGAGTTCAGCTGAAGCCGAGTGATATCACTCACCGCTGTGAGATATTGGCGGCCACTCCTCCCTCTTGAAACATTATGTTCCTTCGGACAGGCCCTCACCGCTGTATTATGAGGCATGATCTTGCGAATACGACGACTGTTCACATCCATTCGTTGGCTGCCGTTGCTTTTACGTGGCAAGGGATCATCCTAGTGCTCGGCGATTGGGCGACGATGGCGCCATCGTGGCATTTATTTTTCGAGACGCGTCGATCGGCTCTGCCGCCATGGGTGCGAATATTGTCTTGGGCAGGATGGTAACAGATTGTCGGTCTGAAAAATTGTCCTCGGGTAGTAGACTGCCATATTGAAAAGGCTAGGCGATCTCTTAGCCATTCTCTTGTGCTGAGTCTAGGTATATGCTGAAGCATCTCAACGCTTGGCTCCAGTTTGTGATTGGTTGTTGAACGATGACGGCTTTCAGCTAATGTCTACAGGGATGTGCAGCGGCTGACTTGAAGTGAAGTGGCCGGAGTGAGTGGCTTGCTAAAAGCGCCTGCCGCGTTGATCCATCCCTACGAGGTTATGCGTGCGTCGATCGTCCCTGAGCTAGGTCAACCCAAACAAGACATAATTTGCAAGAAATTTTGATGATTTGATTTTGCTTTAGAATCAATCATATTCTCATGTGAATGGCAAGGGAATGGCTGTTGGTCGGCTCGAATATCCCGCTTCAAGGTTTCTGCGCCGGTGCACTCTTGCTCCGTCACTAGTCCAGCCTTTCTGCGAAAGAACAACTTCTGTCTGTAGGAGGAAAGCCTGCACGAGCGGCTGTCTGCGAGCTTCTCGAAGACTATTATCACCTTGGCATTAGACGCACTACCTAAGGCCAATACGCGCGACTTGCGAACACTTGTGTTTACCACCGTAGGGCACCAAGTGACAACAATCTCTTTCTCATAGGAACCATGGTACAATGATTGAATGTCATATATCTCCCAGTGTCCATTGGTCCGCAAGGTGTAGCGCAAGACTGTTCTCTCTTTGTGCCACCAAGGGCCCAGAGTGAGAGTCCAGGGAGGCCGCCCTGACGTTTACAGAGGCAGCCTCACGAGAGAGGGGGCCGAGGCGACAGTGAAAGTTGGCTAGAATGAGAGGAGGGCTTGTTAAACCAAGGAACACCTCCAGCTAAACTTTCTCATAAGTATTTAACGAGGCTCTGATGCGACTTGAGGTGAAACACAGAGCGACGACCTTGGCGGAGTTTGCCCATGTCAACTAGAGGCCCGCTGTTGACAAAAACCGAATCTTTTCTGTCATCGCTGAGATGCGTCCCTGTGGTAACCTTGACCTTGTCTAGGTGGTTCAAAGCCTGCCATGGCTGACGCCGCCGAGCGTGGATATGTCTATACTTGATAGAGCTCGAGGAGCAATCTAGAATCCGCGTACGATTGCATCACAAATATTCACCCACGACCAGTACACATATGGATGACCCAGCTGATTCAGTGATGCTCCTTGAATGGCCTTTATCGTGTATGGTTCGAGTTTGGGTAAAATGCACAACGGTCTTGTGACTTGGACCACACAAGAGTGCTGAGGCCATGTAATTCTAAAATTCGAGATGCTGACTTGGTAATTTAAAAAAGCTACTCAAGTCGCCCACTACTCAAGAGCAAGCTACTAGAACATTCGTAAGGAGGCCTGCGTTATATTGCATAAGGCTTTCTTCAAGCGGAGTGCGCTATCAATAAAAATGCCAAGGGCATGAGATGCTGACAAGCATCTCATCGGACAACATCAGCTCGAATAGGCTCATGTGGCATGAGATATCCGCTAAGGGAATGGCTTGAATGCTTTCGGCTACCTGCTGCTGCGGTTTGTACGCAATTTCGATGCAGCTCTCGACGCGGCTGAATGTTGGCACGTTCCATGTGATGGATGTTCACACCCCTGATTCAATTTGGTGAGGAGCAGACAATACCGTAAAAACTCGAGCACTTCAAACTTGCGTTAGCCCGTGCACTCTTCACGTTAAGCCTCTCTCAGTACCAAAAACTCGCTGATCTCCGCCACGTTTTCAGATCTTGACTCTGAATAGAGGCACGTATTGGCCAGAAGGCAAGTAAGACAGCGGGAGCACGGGCTAACGCAAGTTTGAAGTGCTCGAGTTTTTACGGTAGTATGTCTGGAGGGGGCTTAGCCCTAAGCATGCGGCTGATCATTATAGGTCTCGATGGCGCTCTCTACTTTACCTAAGGTATGCATGAGTGTTCCCTCGATGTGGAGACCCCATGAATGCGTAAACGGGACGCCAGTACTCCAGAACTCGACGGTCACATCGTCAGGGGATTGAGTTGTTGGGGATTAATAGACGCAGCCTTTCCCGGAACAATACGTAATCATCCGTGGGTAAGAATGCCCACGCATCGCTGTGGCAACACGTTACATATGTTCAAACCAGTGTCTCTGTAGAGGGCGCCACTCCATAGCACGGCTCCCACACATTCTTCACGGCATGGGGACGTAATTGAGGATAGTGCATGTGGGAAACAGTGATTAGTCCCAGCTGAACATCGTGAGGAATTCGTGTCTCGTGAGTCCGCCAACTCGGAACCCACATTGACCCTTGACTAGCCCATACGGTTGCAGCCGTCGACGCTAGTTACGTGCCGTTCCGCTAGACACGGGCGGGGCTGGCTCAATCGGCAATTGAGTTATTTGGTGCGGACCAACGTTTGCAGGCATGGGAAATGGATGGCTAATTCAACTTTTGGCGACCTTGCCCATATCCGTCGATGCCATGCCAGCCTGTACACGTTGCGAGTCTCACGACCGTGAAGAAGGGTGTTCAGCTGCCCATGCTTATTTTCAGCTCAGCGCCACGTTCAATAGCAAGGAGATAGATGGTCATGGCCATGTGTTTACGGGTGTTGCTGAAAAATCCATAAATAGTTGAACCTCATCGAGGTCAATTGACCATGACAAAAGCTGCGCACCACTACCTAAAGGCTCAAGCTCAGTTCGAGTTGCGTCCTCGCCATGGTTACGAAGTTGCTCTTGTATAGCCTATTCGGCTTTGCCCGTCTTCGGACTGTGCATGCGGAGCCTACATTGCCACCAACGCTGAAGCTTCCCTGGGGAGTCTACGAAGGTCAACTTATGGCAGATGATCCAGAGGTAAGTAAAAGATAGACAAGAGCGCGTTCGATCCAATCCAGAGGCATTTACTAACTAATTGCACAGATTTATTTATTTGAAAACGTTCGCTTCGGCGCAAACCCTCCGCGTTTTGGCGCCCCTGCTTTTCCCACGACGACAAACTCATCTGTTCAGCCTGTCAGTGACGGACTCAATTGTATACAGATAGATCCGAGTACTCTCCGCAACGGACCCGGGGGTCGAAGCCCTGTCCGTACACCTAATGACCAGGACAATCCACAAGGCGAGGACTGTCTGTTCCTCGATCTCTATGTGCCAAGGTCTGTAATCGACAAGCCCCCAGCAAATCCTTTGCCAGTGGTAGTATGGATCTATGGTGGCGCGTTCGCATTTGGCAGCAAGAACCAACTTGGTCCTCTATACACTGGCCAGTCAGTAATCGCGGCAAGCAACTACCAGACCATCTTCGTTGCGGGCAACTATCGCCTTGGTGCTTTTGGCTGGCTCTCGGGAGATTACATGCAGAAGAATGGCCAACCCAATGCGGGACTTTACGACCAAGCCCTACTGTTCGAATGGGTACAGAAATACATTAGCCAGGTGTCTGGCGATGCATCAAAGGTCAGTGCCTGGGGCGAGTCTGCCGGCGCTGGGTCCATTCTCCATCATTTGGTTCGTGAGGACGGCGTTGTGGATCCCACCTTCAAGACCTTCGCTGTTCAGAGCCCAGCGTTTGAATGGGCATGGGACAATAGCCCGATGGGCACTTTGGACCAGGTCTACCAGAACTTTTCGTATCAAGCGGGCTGTGGCTTCGCCTTCAACCTGACCTGCTTACAGCAGTCTACGAACCTGACAAAAGCGAATCAGGCGCTGTTCGCCAACGTTAAGCAGACCGGCCTGTTCCCAGTTGGGCCAGCTGTGGATGACCAATGGGTCACCACGATTCCAACCATTTCGTTCGCGAATGGTAAGTTATCAAAACTCGCAATTGAGTTTGCGACACAGTGGCTTACATCGAATTCCCAGGCAAATACTGGAACTCCTCCATCAGGTCAACGATTATATCGCACTGCCTGAACGAGACTGCTTCGTTCACCCCACTCAATGTAACTTCGTCCGACACATTCATCGAATTTCTCGAAGCCTTCTTCCCGGAAGCCGACCTTGAGCCTCAACGACAAGACATAGCCAATCAGTACCCTTGCACCAAACCACCCTATAATGGTGATTATCGGTTTTGCATCGCGACTGTCATCCGTGACGCAAGCTTCACCTGCAACACTCGCGACCTGTACTCCGCATACCCGACCATTTCGCATATGATGCAATACGCATTTCCATCCGCCAAAACTGCTCAACACGCGTCAGATCTTTTACCTCTGTTTGCCAACAATGTGACCGAAGCT